CCAGGCAATATTATCGCTTATCGCAATAATTTTTGAGACAATTAATCGCCCAGCAAAWTTTGTTATCGTGACAGGCCTAAATTTAACTAAACGTTCCTGATTCATTTTCAAGAAATTTAGTGATTTTATTTCTCTAAAGAAAGCTGAGCCTGAAGGTAAAGGGATATACAGATTTAAGAGACATTCAAAAAGGAAACACATCAGGCTTTTTAAAATCCTTTTTCACATTTAAATTGGAAACAGAACTGCAATGTTTTGGTCTGAACTGGTCAGACTCTGGCTCCAACATGTAATGCAACCGGTTCGGATGTTATCAGTCCATTAAATGGACGTTATTAGCGGTTGTCAGTCCCATAGAATGGCTTCAGACTGTGCCGACAGTGCCTCCTAGTGGTTTACCAGTGCCATATACGTTGGGATGCAACAATCTGCTACTGCCGGAGTCCAGTCTACTTTATCGTAGCCCAGGTCATTTTCTCTAAGATTAACCTTAGTGGCTTTATACCTCATACTAACCAGCTGACAGTCTGAAGCCATTCTGTGGGACTGATGATGGCTAATAACGTCCATTTAATGGATGATAACATCAGAAGTGCGTGTGTAATGCTGCGCTCAGACCGAATGTGTTTGTCTATGATTTGAAGTCTATGTTAACATATATGTAAGTCTATGATGGATGCACGTCCAGGGGCGTCGAGGAGTCTCGRAGCGCTGCGCGTTCTGCATGTCTGGTGCTGTGCATTTTTAGATTTCAACCGTACACCGTGTCCAAAGCGGCAGACGCTGGAGTTGGAAAACCTGAACTTTTGCAGCTGGATGCAGAGCGTCAACCTATCAGAGACTCCACTATGTGACGTAGTGGCGCATTTTCCGACGGGGTGGTCTCCTGAATGATGCCCACTAACTTGAGACTGATGGAGAAGAGCTCTTCAGCTGAAATCAGGCGCCTATAGTTGGGTGTCCAGAAGAAAACGTGTTCGGTCTGAACGCAGCATAATGCTGGATGAACAAGTCTTCCCTCGTTGACATCTTTTAAATAATTTGCAAACATTTCTGCACAGCTAGATAACCAAAACCCCTTCTATCAAACTAGAATGAACCAGTCTGGAAGCTGGAGGGGGGCGGGGTGAAGTGCCTCGTTTGAATTTTAAAGCTACAGCATCAAAACGAGCTGCTTTGAGACGCCTTTCAAAAACAAGGGGGTGAAAGAGGGGCTGGAAAAGTTAGAATAAGGAGGAATTTAGACCAAAGCATTGCAGTTCCACTTTATAAAGACTGAATGATTTCAATGTAAAAAAAAAAAAAAGGAAGGATTTAAAAGCATATGTCTCCTTTAAAACTTCCTGGGCATCCAAGGTAGTTGAGAAAATGATTTGCTTTAAAAAACAGATTCATGTTTCTCATATGGAGGTCAGTGAGAGTYTTTGGTTTTCAGGTGCTCACCCCTCCAGAAGGGCGTTCAGCTGTCGCTCCAGCGCCTCTTTTTCCTGCTGCAGGCTCTGAATGACCTCCTGCCTGTTTTCTGCCATCTCCTGCCTCTTCAGCTCTTGTTCCTCCATGACAGCCAGCTCCCCCAGCACCTCCTCCATCTCCTCCTTCAGCTGACTCATTCGCTCCTCGGACTCCTCCCTCTCCTGCTCCACAAGTGCAGTCAAAGAGTCCACGAGAGCCTGAAGATAAAAAGTGTTTGGTCAAACCTAATGGTTCTCAGTGTGTATATGTTTCAGCGTAATAAGTACGTTTATGTAACCTTTTCTTTTGTCAGCTCCTCTGTGAGCGCCTCGCGTTCTTGCTCAAGCTGAATCTGTCTCTTCCTCTCATCTCTTTTAGCCTGCTGCAACAAGTTCAGCTCCATCTTCAGCTCCTCGATTCTCCTGAGCCCATCTTCTTGAGTTTTGTCTAAAAGTCACAAAACAGACATCAGGTGAACTAGAATCTCTTAAATAAGTTGAAAAGGCAGCTATCTGAGTTGAGCTGAACGTACATCTTTCCTCCTCTGAGAGCAGACACCTCTGTTCGAGATGTGCCACCCTCTCGTCCAGCTCCCTCTCGGTTCTCCTGAGCACCTCCCTCAGCCTGGCGAGCTCTGCCTCTTGCTGACGGACTGTGGCCTGGGAGTCCTGCACTTCTTGGCTGGCCTGTTTCATTTGCTCCTCCATGTCGATCAGTGCCGTTTGTGCAAACTTGAGCTGCGCCTCTTGCCGCTCCAGTCTCTGCTCCGCTTCCCGTAAAGCGGTTTTGGACGCCTGCAGCTCGTCTTGGAATGTCTGGGCCTCCTCCTCTTTCTGCCTCAACAAAACCRGAGTGGTTTCCAGTTCTGCAGCTCGCAGCTCTAGTTGGCTGTAGGAAAGTGTCAGTGTAGCAAACAGGTGATAAAACGGTACTAAAGGAAGCATTGACTTACTTTAGTTTCTCCAKTTGAGAACCAGCAACTGTGTTCTCCAGTGTCTTCTCTTCAATCTTCAGACGGAGRTCCTGCAAACACATCAAGGAAGTATTTTTTTTCTTTCATGGAAAAACAAATAAAAAGGTTGCATTTTGTCCTCAGGAGTAGGGCTGGGTGATACGGCCTAAATTCAATATCATGATATATTGACCAGTTCACCTTGATAACGATAAATGCATGATAACTCTTACCACGCATACATAATAGTATAGTCATAACACTATACACTGTGTCCATGTTCTTAGTCAAAGTACAGTTTAGTAACCTCTAATGAAGCATTATACAAACATTTTTAACCTGAACCATTTGGACCAAAGGGATTTGTAAGGAAGAGTTTGTAGTTTATATTTGTCATTTTAGCGTTTTTAATTTATTTAATAAAAAACCTTTTTTTGGCAAGACTTGAGTCATACAAAAATAAAACAGCTTCATAAATTTCAAGTGAAAATACATTATGTATGTATGTACTATAATTTTATATTTAAAAAAAAATGCACCAAATGTCTT